TGTTGGATGCATAAATATTTACAAATGTTATATCCTCTCATGGGATTGACCCTTTATCATGATGTGGTCGGTACCCATCCTGTCTCTCATTAAAGTCTTTGTGTTCAAGTCTATTTTGTCTGATATAAGTATAGCTATCCCAGTTTTCTTTTGGTTTCCATTTCCATGGAATACCTTTTTCTGTCCCTTTACTTTCAGTCCATGTCCTCACATCTGAATTGAGTCTCTTGTAGGCAGTATATAGATGGATCTTGTTTCTTTATCCACCCAGCCACTCTATGTCTTTTGGTTGGAGAATTTAGTCCATTGCATTTAAAGTAAGTATTGATAGGTATGCACTTGTTGCCATTTTAGTTGTTTTCTGCTGTTTTGTAGGTGGTTCCTCTGCTTCTGGCTCTCTCTTCCTTTGCGATTTCGTGATTGTCTTAGATTCTTTTCTCTTTATTGTTGGTGTGTCTACTACAGGTTTTGCTTTGTGGTTACCGTGAGGCTTACATAAAACAACCAGAAACAGTCCATTTTAAGATAAGAACTGAAGTTTGAACATATTCTAGAAGATCTACATGTTTACTCCACTCCCCACAGCCCACAGTTGATGTTTTTGATGTCACTGTGTTCCTAGAATCTTGTGACTTTGATGTAATTGAACTTAACCTTTGTATCCCCATGTCAACTTCTGTCTCATATAGTTGGGATATAATTTTTAAAATTCTTGAACAAGTTACTCCTGTTCTAAATTTTCTTTGGTAAGAATTAAAAACTATCTTAGGAAAATGTCTACTCACATGGAGAAGCATCCCAACATCAGGCCAGCCTTGATTTTTTTTTTGCTGGACCAGCCCCAGCTTGTGCCCAAGTTTGTACCTGCTGTTTTTAGGTGGTTCCTCTTTCCACACATGGAGGAAACTCACTGGTCCAATACAGGGGAAACCAAAAGGTTTTTATGTTTTCGACCATCCCAGGTTTACATCATTTTACGTCTAGAAAGCCCTTTCGGCCAATTTCCTTCAGTGTGCCATTTTAAGCTCTAAACATTACTTCCTCTGCTTTTTGTGTTACCACAGTGACATGGGCAGTTAAGTAGTATGTTTCATAACTAGCAAAAACAAACACTAGATATCTTAGCTTCACATGCTGGTGTTTCCTGCTACAGTGTAATCATGGCTGTATCTGAACAACAGTAATCCCCAACACTTCCATGTGCTCACCAGAGCTCCAAACACAAGGTCAGCAACACGGGGCTTACACTTCCTGTGTTGTTTTGTGCTACTTGATGAAAAAAGCAATGGGAAACATTTCCATTGTGAAATATGTTATGACTAAAAGACTGCATTAAAATATAATCTCTTCAGTGGAGAACAATAAAGCTCATAAATCAGGGTTTTCTTTACAACACATGGTGAGGAATCATAATTTTTAACTTGGCTCTCTCGACTTTTGGTTTCAATCTGTGAAATAGCAATTGATGTGAGATCCCTGTGTGATACGCATATCTAGTGAAATAATTTTACTTTAAAAATTACTGAAGCATTAGCTGAAAGGTCCAATGATTTTAGTAAGAAAAATGTGCTGAAACCAACAAATTTTTGAACCTATAAGAAAAGTATAGGTTCAACCTCAGTAAAATTGCTAATTCGTCTTTGGTGCGTTAGTTATAATCTAATTCCTTGACTATACAAAACCAGGGGAAAAGAACTACTTCAGTTTCCCCCATCATTACTATTTAAGAAATGTAGAGATTGTCCGTCTGTTTTAGATAAATGGGGAGACTCTGAGCTGTCAGGTTGAGACCATTTCTTGTTCAGAATGACCACCAGCTGTGGGTGGGACTGGCCCACATGAGAATGGTGCACCGGGCTTCCGTGGGCTGATAGCAATGTTGCCCAGCCTCACAGGAAGGAGGAAAACGAGGGGCTAGTGAACCCCGGCCGAGGATGACAAGGGCCTTCACACACTGATGTCCCATTTCAGATAACACACCCTCAGGGGCAGGCAGCACGTGATCTTCTGATGCTTCCAAATAAGCTCACACTGGGCACATAGCTGGGATACAATTTAAGTCATTTTCATTTTCTATCTGCCTTTCTTATTGGTCAAATAAATGTTTCTAGTCAATTAAAGTATCACATGGAACTGTAAGATGTGGCTTCGTGAGCTCACATTTCCCCAAAGAAGGGCAAGTACACCATGCTGTTTTGTTGTAGCTTTCCATTGATGTCTAGGGTGAGGCCCATGGGAAAGAAAATGCTCAATGGAAAAAAGGAGAACATTCAGGTTTGACTAGGCCCGATTGGGCCAGTAAGTTCCTTGGGAACTGGAGCTGGTCTTGTTTCCAGGCTTAGCACAGTGTCTGGCCCATGGGGCGCGGGCAGGAAATGTGTGTGGCATGAGGAGTGCAGAGGTACCCAGGGAGGCAGGTCTGGGCTTGATCTGGAGAGAGAATCCAAGTGAGAACTAGTTCTCTAAAGATTAGGGAAGAGGACAGATCCCTGATGATGCTACATTCTTCTTAGACCTCCCTACATCCCACCATAATGCATGCCAATCACAGGTCAGAACTGCCCAGATGTTCAGTGGAAATGTGATGTGCGATAGTGATGTATGTAAGGATCACTGTTACCCCTGCTCATAAAAGGATGTCTTTCACTTAACACTAATAGGCAAATGTGAATGCCATGTCGCTGTTACAGCCAATTAAGTTATAAAGATGCTTGAAGAGTTCCTTAAGAACTTAGCCTAAAAAAAAAAGAACTTAGCCTCCCGAGGACAAAAATATACAGCCGGGAGAAGAGTTTGGGGTATCCTGCTTCCAGCGTGCATTTAAAAAAGTCTTTTTGCTCTTTGAATGGACTTACCAATACACTCATCAGCTTTGGGGCTGCAAATTCTAATACATTTTGTTAAAATGAATAGTGTTGGAACCCTGAACCTAATTCATCCAGAGGCCTTCTACTTGAGCTCATCAAGTAAGCAGAAACATTTGGATACATACACGGTTTTCCATTTAGAGACATCTGCAATCTCAATTCAGAGAAGGAGACTTCCTCGGTGTAACTAGCATTAAATACTAACAGAAAATGTAAAGAAGGGAAGGTCTTTGCTTTCTCAGTGATTTCTTTAAAACTATGGGTAGAACATTGGGAAGACAGCCTTTCCACTCAGGCAGAGCACCTGCAGCGTGCGAGTCTGCGGCGATCACGGAGGTGCGGTGGTCCCTCCTGCTGACTGCGGAGGAAACAAATGAAACCCCTGCCTCCTCATTAAAAGGTCATGATTTAAGACATCTCCCCTTAGTCACAGGAAGATACGTATGAAAGACGCAGGCTCGTTACTGAGGAAGAGCCTCCCCGAGGGACTGTTTCTTCATTTCAGGGAGTGTCACCCAACAGTCCAGGAGCGCTCACAGATGACGTAGCTGTGATTTGCATCTGCCGGTCCCGAGGGGATGAACCCACACACATCCATCAGTTTAAATCATACCAGAGGGAAAGGGGGCTGGGCAGGTGGAAGAGCGAAAGGGGGGATAAATGGTGACGGAAGGAGACTAGACTTTGGGTGGTGAACGCACAATACAATATGCAGATGATGTATTATAGAATCGTACACCTGACACCTACATAACTTTATTAACCAGTATCACCCCAATAAATTGAATAAAAAATTTAAAGGTGCAGTTCCTATTAAACAAAAAACATACCAAGTGTCCTTGTTCACAGACCTGATAAACAGTCACCTATCCGGACAGTACTCAGGATGTTATCTGAACATGTGCTTAATGTCTGCTTCTGCTCCAGGTAAACCTCTAGTTCTGAGAAGTGCCTACTCCAGAGTCAACCACAGCTGTTCCTTTTAGGAAAAGAACAAGGTGATTACATTCTGATGAAGGAGATTTCTTGACAAATTTCCTTACTGAATTTCTCCTTTAAAAGGACTTTGTTCAAAAAGAACTTCAGCCATGAGCATGTAGAAATTCATTCGGTTCACCTAATCCAGGGACAGAGTCACATGGTCAGATTTCTCTGTTTCCAAGCACTGCCTTCCTGCATAGTGACCTTCAGTGGCCTCCATTTTAAAGTAAATTAGTTATAGAAAACGAATCTCTGTGCTTGATTCATCTGTGTATCTGATGTTGCCTGTGCAATGACATTATTCGTAGGGGACTTTGGTTAAGAAGGCAGCTGTGACAGACTATCTCCTGAATAACCAGCTTTCTCAATGTAAACATTAAAAATACTACTAACCCCCTACTGTAGCCTAGGGGCAGAAATATGGAAAACTCCACAGTTCTGCAGTCCCCATGATCTTTGAGATAGTCTTGAAAGTGTCAAGGATTAAAATGGTAAAAATGTTTTGTGCTTTTTTACTTTTAAGGCAGGACAGAATTGTAGTTCTGAAAGGGCGCTCGCTTGGTTGACAGAAAGAGACTTGGAGGGTTTATTTGCTCAGAGCCCCACGAGTGGGCGGCCACTGAGAGGGTGAGGCCCACCCCTGGTTCCGCCCACCTTCCCCCGCTGGCAGGTTGCCGCCTGGGACTCATCTCAGGCAGCCTCTCCGCTCAGCTACGTGTCAACACCAAGCACATCCAACAAAGCAAGTGTTTAGAAAGCCACTCTTTCTAGTTAGCCTTTATTCTTCTCACGGTTCTAGAAGGAACTCCTGCCTGTGCCCCCAGCTCGAGTTGGGAAAACAGTCTTGATTTCTGTCACAGTATGCAAGAAGAAAAATGAGTCCAATGGATGGGTGTCCTAATTCTAAGCAGTTTTAAATTATTATTTTGGGAACTCAATATAAAACTTTCAATGGTGAACAAAAGAGGTGAGAGGGGTTACTCAGTGTTACACAAGTGGCATAACACATTTTTCCAAATATTTGTAATCATGGGGAAAAAAGCAAGCTATTGATATTTTTAATTTCTAAAAGCCAAATTTAATAAGTTAATAAATGCATGCCAGATAAAAACACAAAATTACAACTAAAACCCAATAATTTAACAAAAAATGCTCTGCGTTGTATTTTTTTATTGGCATGGATCATTTACTAAAGTAACAAATCTGAAAACATTTTGCTTTTTTGCTGGAAAGAAATTACTATGTCAGAGAAGAACGAAGAGAACCCAGAAATAAAGCATTGGAGAAAAGTAGGCATATGTTATAGTCTATGGCAGTGCAGTGGCCAGAGGTGCTGTTCTGTCCATTGATGGGCATGTTTATGTAAGCATCAGACACCAATGACAGAACCCAAGCGAAGTCATGACAGGTTCACTCTGCGAAACATGCTGAATTACAACCACAGACTACCCAGGACGGAGAGCGGGGCAGGCTGCTGTCTCCTTTGTACGGGTCCCCTTGCCAAACGGGGCTAATCATGCAATAGCCTGAGTTTCTCTTAACATGATAAACACCCAGGGTTACTAGCACTGGAAAGCGTATGTTCACTGTTTTACAAGGACAGCTGAGCGGTGCTACAAAAACAATGGAAAGTTCCTTCATTTTAAACTGGTTATATGCCCAAACTTCTAACCAAGGAATAATGCAGCTATGAGAGCCAATTAAATTACTATAAAACATTCCTTCATCTGTAAAACACTTCTTTTTCCTCTCAAACTAAAAATCTAAAATAAAATGTCTTCATTTTTGATGAGCAGCTCTACCACCAGTCTCTGATATCGGATATCGTTCAGTGCAGCCATGGCGTCTAGTTCCGGAGATCTCATAAGGGTGGGGCCGAAAACAATCCCAAGGTTTTCTGCATTCATAAGGTTCTCCTTTTCATGGAGGGTCACTCTGAAAAATACAAGCAAAGGAGGAGGATTTTTGTGTAAGCCATGCGGTTCTTCACTGTGCTTTGGAACAAAATCAAAAACAAGATGTGTGTGGGTTCGGTTCTATTTGTGGATTCTCTGGCCGCAGCCTGAGCTGCAGGGGTGTCTGAAATGGCAGAGAAGGAACTGGGTCGACCTGATGGTTCCTCAGCCCTCCCTCCGCCACTCCCTCCTCTTGGGCTATCTGGTTTCCTATAGATTATGTTTCCAAGTGTCTAGGGAGAGAGTGGTCGTGACATTAATAGGAGATGGCTCAGCGTAAGCAACCTTGTCAGAGAGAGTAAGTGTTTATATTTTTTACAGCTACAGTGAAGGCACAGAGACTACAATTTGAGAGTTATTTCTTCTGTGTGGAGTACTTAACTGCATCCATATATGAAGCAAACTTGAATTTACAAGTGAAGCTGTAAGCAAATGACATCAAAGTTTTAACTCATGGTGCTTTTAAAGAGGAGAAACGTGTAAATATTAAAAGCAGCATGAATTAAGTATTCATTTCTGGATAACTCATGCCTAAAGGCTTATAACATAGATGTCAAGTTCTGCTATCTTTTTGTTGCTGATTGGTCTTATATTTTGAAACCCTAAATGTAAATATTAAAAGCAGCGTGAATTAAGTATTCATTTCTGGACAACTCATGCCTAAAGGCTTATGTCAAGTTCTGCTATCTTTTTTGTTGCTGATTGGTCTTATATTTTGAAACCCTAAAACCACTAAATCTTAGTCATATAATTTTAAAAATATTGCTTCAACTGGTAGAGATTGACGGTGACTGAGCAAGGAAATAAAGCTCCATCATCATCAATCACTGTAACACATTAAACCAGAGGAACAAAACATTTCATTTTCCATTCCTCCTTTACCCCTTACTTTACTCCATCATTTTTTTTACAGCAATATTTAGTGCTGGCAACATCCATCCAATAATCTACAATCCCAGCACCAAGTCTTAAGTGCCTGTCTTAGAGAAAGAAGAATGAGCCTTCTTGTGGGTTGCTTTGCTCTTGCGTTATTATGCTAATGCTAGTGTCTCTACAGCTACAACCTTTCCTTTTGCATAGACATGAATGCATGTCCTTGGCAGGATACTAGTATTTCTAACATATTTGCCAACACCTAGTGCAATTGTAAATACCTTCCTGTTAGAATCAAGTGTGTGTTCAGCTCTGTAGTGCAGAATATTTTTAGCATTCCTTCTTAACTTGTGCAATTTCACACAAGACAACATAGCTTGTGTTTATTCATTCAATGGATCATTTGTCTTTTCTTTCACGTTTCATTTCACTTCATTCTTAAAATTTGGATGCAGCACAAGTTAAGCATTGCAGTCTGACTTGCCTCTTCAGATGCGCCATGAGGTACCGGAGGGTCTCGCAGTGAGCGGGCGGCAGCAGTTTCAGTGCCTCGTGAAGGGTTTCTAATTGCTCATCAGGATCCATAATTTCTAAAGGAGTGAGTTGAATGAATACAAAGGAGGAAAACTTTACTAGACAACTGGTATAAATGGTTCATTTCATTCTATTCTATGTTTTAAAACTGGTAAGAAATGCCTTCTCACAGATCCTTGCCCACAGCCTTGGAAAGTATTTTTAAGGTTCAAGCCTCAGATTTCCAAAGGCTTAGTTTCAATGTGGCAATACCATTTACTTGGACTTTTGGGGAGACCACCCAGTTTTTTCACTTGGAAGTCTTGAGTCTGGTAACTATGGAAACTGGCCATTGGATATATAGGATGTAACTATGAAAAATTCAGACACATATCTACATACAAATAAAAACTTACACACCCAAGTGAGGTCATCTTAGAACATTACAAATATATTTAAGGAATGCTGCATTGTTCAAAATATTTTGAAAGTCCCCTTTCAGAAAGCAACAGTATAGAAGCTATGCCATCCCTTTGCCCCTGGCAACCCCTGTTAAGGTCTTATTACTTGATATTCATGCTTTATTCTTTTGCAACCAGGAAATATATGATCTAATATTTACTTCTTTTATTAGATATAGTTTTTTAAAAAAAATATATTTCTTTATTGATTTCAGAGAGAAAGGGAGAAGGAGAGAGAGACAGAAACATCAATGATGAGAGAGAATCATTGATCGGCTGCCTCCTGCACACCCCCCACTGGGGATCGAGCCCGCAACCCAGGCATGTGGCCTTGGCCGGAACCGAACCCGGGACCCCTCAGTCCACAGGCCGATGCTTTATCCACTGAGCCAAGCCGACCAGGGCTAGATATAGTTTTAAGTTACTATGTGTTATCTACAATAGTCAAATCTACCCTCAAAGCACAAAGATACTCTACTACTTAGGGCATTCCGAAGCCACATGCAGACTTGGAAGGCAATGCCAAATGTTCTGAGTGACAACAGGGTCCCTCAAATAAATGGGACCCTTTCAGAGGTGTAAAAGGTGTAAACTTTGAAGGGGCACATCTTCATGTGCCTATTTTAGTTCTGCTGTGTTGGCCAAAACACCAGCACACGCCTTTGAGGTTACAGATCGCATTAAACTAATTATTTCCGTAATCAGAAACAATAGACATCTTTGGAATTCTGTGCTCTAATCTAGCACATTTCCTGCTTCTACCCAAACGTCATGAAGATGGGGTGCCTTTAAATGTTTGGTTTCAGGGCAATTGCAAAGGGACCCAAATCAGAACAGCAGCTGTGAAATGCTAGAAGGCCACATCTGATCAGAACATGACATTGAGGACCCAAGAATCCCAGTCTTTCAGATCTAATAAAATAAACCAACTCAGAGGCAATGTACTGGAGTCGGGTGAAAACTAGAATGACATGAAAGGTTCTTAGTGTTGCAGAGCAGATTTGATAAATTTCAGAATGTAAACAGTGACTGAAGCTTTTTAATTCAAAGAAACTTTGGCCATTTTGCAATTTCTGCCCAAAGCTTCCCCAGAGCTTCTGGTTCATTTCTTCGGGATGAAGAACGTATTATTGACATTTACCAGGATAAATACCGCATGGTCTCTGAACCTGAGGCCTTTAAAGAGTGCCAACTAATAACAGCAATTCCAGATACTGAAATGCAATCATTTAATTTCTAAAATTAAGAAAAGAAATTCCACTTCTATAAAAACCTTTATAGAACTAAGTAATTGGAAACTACACTATTGTGAAAATTGAAAAAGGAGTAGTTTAGTTTTCTTTTAACTTCCACACTTAGTCTGTGTAGGGAGAATCTTGAGATGGTGTGAAGTTAAGGGCAGTGTTGGTGGGATGGAAACAAACAAAATTCCAGGTTCATGGAGAGCTCACTTTCCCTATTGGAGGGTGACTGACAATAAATAAGTATATGTATCTTTTAGCTTATACTGTATTAGAATGAGGCAAGTGCTATGGAAAAGACATTGGGTGTGTTGAGGGGGGAGGGTGTGTAATTACACATGGTGTGGTCAGATGACCCGAGGCAGTGGGGGGTCGAAGCACACAGAGATAGATCTGGGGAAGGTGGTTCCAGGCAGAGGAACAGTCCGGCAAAGATCCTGAGGGAGAGAAGGCTGGGAATGTTTGAGGAAAAGCGAGGAGCCAAGTGTGGCCACAGTAGAAAGAGCAGAAAGAGTAGGAGAGGATGAGACTCGAAAGGTTAGAATTTACTGAGAGAAATGGGAAAGTCATGACCTGACATACATTTTTCACAGTATCTCCCTCTGACTGCCGCATGGGAAACATGATGGGAGGGGCAAGAGTAAAAGCAGAAAGATCATTCCAGTAATAATTGCAAAAATCCAGGTGAGGTGTGACACTAGCTTAGACCAGGTGTAATCAGGGACGGTGATAAGAAATTCCAGGACTATTTTAAAGGTCGAGTCCATAGGAGTTACTGATGCGGGATGTATGAGAGAAAATCACAAATGAGCCAAGTTTGGGGCCGAGGTACCGGGGAGGATGGAACCGCCATTATCTGAGACAGGAAAGATCTGGGTGGAGGAGGCTTCGTGGGGAAGATGAAGACATCTGAGCTAGACCTGCAGATGAACATGCTGACTTGGATTAACCTACTGCTCAGGGAGAGGTCCAGATTGGAGCTATAAACCTGGGAACATCTGACAAAATGCACGTGAATGCACCGATATCAAATTGACAGAGACTTGCCCTGGGATCACTTCTCTTTTCCACTCTGAGGAGTGTTACCCATGCTCAGTTTTTCAGAGAACACAAACCTTTAGCTCTAAGAAGATCACAGCGCAATTTAAGAGGGAGATAGACCAATGAAATGCATTCAGAGGTGGTAACCACCATTCCTGTTTTGAATATATGGAAGGCTTGCACGTAGACGAGGGTGATACCAGGACCACTGCCGAGGGGAGGGAGCTAGAAGCGGGCAGATCTCTGTTGGGCACCGTGGGGCTCTAAGACTGTGGAATCTGTCACCAGTGGACTGGCTGCCTGGACAAATGATTCTGGGGTTACTGGGTATTTAAAAAACAAAGTCTAGTTACATGACTCCTTAGAGCAGCGGTTCTCAACCTGGAGCAACATTACAGTGATGATGTAGCAACGAAAATAATTTTATGGTTGGGTCACAACATGAGGAACTGTATTTAAAGGGCCAGAAGGTTGAGAACCACTGCCTTAGAGTATCTAAAAACTAAGATTCTGTGGTTCTCAATTATAAAATTATGTTTACTGATTGAACAAATATTCACAGGGCATCTATTATGTCAGCGAGGAACTACACAGGCGCTGTGGGGAAACGAACATGAGCAAGAGAGCTGCCTGGATGGGGCTGCGGTCTAGAAGGGAGGACACGGATGAGCATAACCTCTGACAGGGGGACAGACACTCTGAAGGGCGTCCCAGCGAGCGTGACATGTGCACAGAGGAGAAAGCTGGCCGAGTCGGAGGGACAGGAGAGGGAGAGACGGCATTTGAGGGAGGTCTGGAAGGATCTGGAAACACAACACTGTGGGGGCAGAAAGTAAGCACTCTGAAGCTGGACCAAGACCTAGTTAAAAGCTCTTTTTAAAGGTTACATTCTTTAGAGAGAAACTCAAGTACAAGAAGAATAAACATAGCCCAGAAGCGGGGATCTGGGCAGAGCGGAGGGAGGAGCTCCACCGGCTACAACTCCCAGGCTCCTCTTCGGGCCGTTTATGTGGCTTGGGAACAAGAACCCTGGGTTTCATTCCCGGGTTTTTCTGAGTCACTCGAGGTTACACCCCGAGTCATGCAGCTTCTCTAGGATCTGGGAACATCGCTCTCGGACCCCTTGGCCAGGGGAAGCGTTCCAGGTCCAGTACGGCCAGGGCTCAGCTCTGGCCGAGTGGTCAGGAAGCATGCGTGGAAGCTGGGCTAAGGAGCAGCCCTGGGAGAAGCACCTCTCTTCTAGGCCTTCCTACCGGACTGCAGAGATTTCTTAATTGGTGGGGAGAGGAACTGAGCAAAAAAGTGCTGGGGAGACCAGGTGGTTCATAAGGGAGCACGCAGGGACTGTGCAGAACTTCAGGCCTTTCGATGGGATGCCTGGCCTCCTCTACCGCCTTTAGCATTTCCTGCAGCCACTCCCCTCCAGCTTTCAACCAGCAGGAGTTCTCCAAAGAAGGCTGCAACAGCAGAGCTCAAACAGCTTTTGCAGGAAGAAGCTTTAATATGAAGTATGACTTTTTGTTGGCAAGGGAGGCTAATAAACGCCAGAGATACCCGAGACCTAAAGAATATGGCCCAAGGATTTTCAGGGGCTAGAGATAAAAAAAAAAAAGTCCAAGAGCACCTGCATCAGGATAGGTCAGCCAACCGTGTCCTCTGCCTGCCTTCCCCTGGGCGAGTCTCTGCCCCCTATTCTATCAGGCGCCCCAGGCAGCATGCAGAGAGAGCTAGGGCTTTGATGTTAGGGAGAGGTGGGTTTGAACACCGTTACCACCTCCTCCAGTGACAGGACTAGGACAGTTTACTTATATCCTAAAACACCTTCTTTTTTTAAAATATATTTTTATTGATTTTTTACAGGGAGGAAGGGAGAGAGACAGAGAGTCAGAAACATCGATGAGAGAGAAACATCGATTAGCTGCCTCCTGCACACCCCCTACTGGGGATGCGCCCGCAACCAAGGTACATGCCCTTGACCGGAATCGAACCCGGGACCCCTCAGTCCGCAGGCCGAAGCTCTATCCACTGAGCCAAACCCATCAGGGCCTAAAACACCTTCTTTATAAAATAATATCATGGGCCCTGGCTGGGTCGCTCAGTGGGTTAGAGTGTCGTCCCAAATACACCAAGGTTGAGGGTTTGATCCCCGGTCAGGGCACATACAAGAGTCAACCAATGAATGCATAAATAAGTGGAACAACAAATCGATGTTTCTCTCTTTCTCCCCCTTCTTCTATTTCTAAAACCAATTAAAAAATAAAATATCATGGATGTAAAGTACTGAGCATGATGCCTGGCACCTAGTACTGCTCTATAAATCTTAGTTTTTCTTATTTTCCATATCTGCTTATACAGATAGGAGAACAGCTGTATCTATGCATCTAGACACATTCTACTCTTAAAAAAGACAGGTTCAAGGACACAATGTTCCACAAACGATTACATCAACATCGAACATGCACAGTACACGTCTATGTTGTGTATGAGTGCTATGCTAGGGTTTCTGTTGTCATGGCGATCACACATGAAAATAGTTCAAATTTTAAGGCGTTTCAACCTCGATTTAGGCGCGTTTATTATGCTGTGCTTTTGCGAGCTCTCTGAGGGGTGAGTGGGGGCTTGCTGCTTTTGGACAGGTCTGTTTCAGACACAAGTCCCAGAACAATGACAAACGGTTTGGAAGCATAAAGAGGGGAGATTTTCCTGAGCCACCGGGTGGGTGTGGGGAAAGAAGGTGAGGTATTTGGGAGTGCAGGGCTCAAGGCCTTGAAATCCAGTAAGCAAGCCTTGGCTTTTTCATCCCAGTAGATGAGGCAGTGCAGAGCGGTCGGAATCTGGGTTTCCATCACTGCTTTGTTCTCTGCTAATTGGTTGCCTTGGGTCAGGCTCAGAAGCCAAGTTGTAGTTTTGTCCCAAGCAACACGGGGACAGGAACACCATCTAGCTGAGCCCCAGTGTTGTCCTGGGCATCACAGCAAACTGTGGGCGGACTGAGCAGCCCTTTGGGAAGTGTGTGTCCAGTGTCTTCCACATCAATGCCAATCTGACCAATCCTTATGGGAAGCAGCGCCTGCCCCACGAAACAAGAACCTCAGCAATGAATCCAGCCCCAAACGAGAAGCGGTAAATTCCGACGGGAGAGATCTAGAGCCTTTCAGGCTCAGGAAATCTAAAAATCAGGGCAATTCTCATGGCTGTTCTCTACACGAGAGCTGAGCTGACCCGCAAGAAATGAAGGCTCCACAAACCACAGGAATTCTCAACAAATGCTCTGAAGGGGAAACTGAAAATTAAAACAAGTCAAGTTTGTGCTTCATGAAATCTCAAAGTCAAAGAGCAAATCAGTGTTACCAAGGAAGTTATGTTATTTAAAGATCAAGACAACATGTGGCTTTGAAGAGAGACAAGCAAACGACAGAAATAGCCTATCTTTTCTTAAGACATGGTAATGCCGACAGTTAAAATCTGTTCAGAATTTCCTTCAAAAAAATGGAGCATGAATTATAGGTATGATTTTTTTGTACTATAAACAGAATTTGGCAAATGAGCCTTTGCTTTTCCTCATTTTCATCTTAACTAGAATTTAAAAATGGTCCATCGCAGAGTGAACATGGGGATTGAGAGTAAGGATTTAGAAACTTTTATTGAAATCTGACGGTAATTTTTGTGCTTGATGAATCTAACAACAAAGTAGTTGATCTTGTTTTTTTAGTTTTATTTTTCCAGTTATTTTTATTTTATTTTACAAAGTACAGTCCGAATTTCAGGAGCACTGGTAGAAGCCTTCCTTTGGAGAATGAGGGTTAGCTAGCCCGTTACCAAGAAGTTTCTGGTGGTAGATGTTGTAAATCACCCGTGTTGGAGAACAGTTCAAATTCTTGTGAGCATATATATATAACCATGGAGAGGGCGAGGAAGAAGTCTTTAATGAAATACATTCAAGATGCCCAGCAGAGAACCCCGGGAGGAGGGATGACCCCGGAGAGGCAGGCTGTCAGGGTATTGGGGCGCGCGCTGGTGTACTTACTGGCGGACTCTATGAACTTGGGGTAGGCGTCATACGTGATGAGTGGAATCGGTAAGTCCCTGAAGTAGAGTTTCAGCGCACCAGTGATGATGTTGATATCTTCATATACGTTCACAGAAATATCTGCTTTCTCTCCATCTTTGAAGGATATTAAAGGAAAGAAAAGTAAATATTTGGATCCACAGCATTGTTTTTATAAATAACGTATTTCTGTGTACAGTTTTTAAAGATTACCAATGCTCCCATTTTTAACATCAGCTTCATTGTGCTAAGTTATAGAAATGATCAATACTCTGTGAAAAGCAAAATTAATTTTTGAGTTTTCTGAAGTTATATTTCCATGTTACTTATGGAGTGAAAATCAGAAGAGAACTTGGGTCAACAGAAATATTTGTTCATTTCATGGCTGCTTGAGAATTCCCAGGGGACTAATATGGGATTGCTGCTTTTCTTTTTAAAATAAACACAGAGAATGTGGGAAATGACAACAGAGGCACTCTTCACTTACAAAAGACCCCTAGCACCAAGGTCTCTATTCTTTGTGCTTTTGTACCACCCCAGGCTCCCACACAGAAGTTTGGAGCTTGCCTGAGTCCTAGGGGTAAAGGAGGTGGCGAGAAGAGAGTAAAAAAAACAAAACAAAACAGAACCATAAAGTGTTGAAAGAACAAGAACAGAAGGCATTACAAAGTGGAGGGACATTTCAGAGGCGCTGGGCCCCTGACTCCCAAGTAAAGCTACCTTCCTTCAGGGGGACCTCCCCCAGTTCCCTGGCATTTAGTACTTTACTTGGTTAAAATACCTGAATTTTCATCTACTAAAGATTTAATTTGCATCTGCTCTGAGCTAGAGCCTATGCTGGCTTTCTTTGTTCTGTCTGGTTTACGAGAGATTTCTGTGGATTAAGCAGCAGCCTCTTCACCACACACCTGTTAGAACGGCTACAATTTAGAACCCTGATAACACCAAAGGCCCGCAAGGATGTGGAGTGACAGGAACTCTCATCACTGCTGAGGAGGATGCAAAAGGGAGCAATCACTTTGGAAGATAGGCAGTTTCCTACTAAGCTAAGCACACTCTTACCACAGAATCCAGCAACAGTGCTCCTTGCTGTTTACCCAAAGGAGCAGAAAACTTGCATCCACCCAAAACTCTGACACAAGGGTTTATAGCAGCTTTACTCATAATTGTCAAAAAACTGCAAGCAACCAAGATGTCTTTTTGATAGGTGAATGAATTGAGGCACACCCAGACAATGGAATACTTTTCAGCTATGAAAAGAAATGAGCTCGCAAGCCAAGAAAGACACGGAGGAATTTAAAATACAGTAAGAAAGTAAAAGAAGTCAGTCTGAAAAGGCTATGCCCTCTGTGGTTCCAACTATAGGACATTCTGGGAAAGGCACAACTATGGTCAGTAAGATCAGTGGATGCAGGGGCTCAGGGCAGGAGGGAAGGATGAAGGGTACAGCACGGATTTTTATGAGAGTGAAAGTTCTGTGTGATATTGGGACGGTAGATACATGACTTCACACATGTCAAAACCCACAGAACTGTGCAATGTAAAAGTGAACCCTAATATAAACTATTGACTCTAGTTAATGTATCAATATTGGTTCACAAACTAACAAATGTATTGTACTAATGCAAGATGTTAATAGGGTAATATTAACATCCTGGGCCAGAGCATGAGAGGAGGGATTACATGGGAAATCTCTGCTCAGTTTTTTTGGTGAACCTAAAACTACTCTGAAGGCTTTTTTTTTTTTTTTTTTTTTAAAGCAGCCTCTTTTAAAATGCCAATACCTTGGCCTGTTTGACACTCACATATGAGTGTCAATGAGATCACCAGTGCCTACCTCTCACACGTGGGTTGGAGTAATGTGCAGGGGCAGTACAGACTGGGACAGAGTGCCTCCTGGAAGGAAAGCAGTCATGTAATGTGGACCCACCATGAATGCTTCACAGGGGAAGCATGTAGGTGCTGGGCCTACGGATCTGCAGAAAGGGATGTGAGCACAATGGGAATGTAGAAAAATGACTGTCAGTTTTTACTCAGAAAAATAGTTTCCCTTCTGTATTTTTCTGTGAGAATCCAGATTTCAAATATCCTACCTCATTATTGGCTACAGTACCATTTTTGGTTTGGAAAGTAAAGTCACAGTTTTTATAGTTCAGCTACCTGATAGTGTTGAACAGAATTTGGAGGTTGGTCTGAAAATCTTCTACCATTCAGACAATTTTTTTATGGTAAAATATTGTGTTCATTGCATCTCAGTCCATTCTCCTTTCACTTACCCCTCTCTAAGTCACAGCACCTTTTAGTGCCTGGATAGGTCAGCCTCAGGGCCTTTGCACAGACTCCTATGCTGTCAGGCCTTTCCATATCCTGTTTCTTTGCTACTCAATCTGTATCCAGACAGTTCCTATTCATCCTTTCAACTTTAGCATAAACATTTCTTCTCTGGGAAAGCCTGTTCTGGTCTCCAACATCCCCCTAACCCTAACAGACTAGATAATTCCTCAGTTATTAATATTTTTCTTTATGGCATCTATTAAAATAAAAATCAATAGCCATTCTGTGATTATTATTTAATGTGAGCCCACCACAAATGCAAGGACCAAGTGTACATAGTTAACTGCTGTATCTAAAGTGAAGGACATGGTGCCTGGCACACACTAGCTGTTATATACATGTTTTTGAATTAATGAATCATTGGAAAGTAGATTTTGAAAAGCTAGGAGCCTAAAATATTAATATTCTAGGAGTCACTATGCATACTATTCTTAAACTAGTTCCTTTAAAACCTCCTTTTTGAAAAGAATCTACATATTCTCTTACATCTATTTTAACGTAATATAAATGCATTCTGTGATTAGATTTCTAGATACTACACTCGAGGGCGTGGATGCAGCAGCACAGACTGCCCTGACTGCTCTATTACTTTCAGCCCTTGGCTCTTCAGACTGGGGCTCCCCTGTGGGGGTCTCCCTGGAGGAAGGCTCAAGGGTTTGTATTTGCTCTGACCTTCCCCTGGGCCTCTCCCTGTTCTGGGCACAGAAATATCTGCTTCCACTGGGAGATAAAGCATGCAAGGCTACAATGGCATGTGCTGACCTCAGAGTGATTCGTGCTCCATTCCATGACCATCTCCTAAGTGAGGGGAGATTTTCCAAATTCTGCCTTTTAATTCTGCCTATTGAATGGGTTCACCCTAGCATTCTATGGATCTTGCCTTTTCCCCGCGGATCTCATTATTTCAGGGTTGTAAGCCTCCCAGAAGTGATCGAGGGAGTGGCAGTATGGAGCCAAGGTGAGCTCTTCAAGTTTTTTCACATCTGTTATTAGTGTTTTCAGAGCACAAAAGGGAATGTAGAAAAACTACTCACAAAAAGACTGTCTTGTATTTTGAATGAGAGAAAGCTGCTGCGATTTATTTGCTTTCTGGGCCCCCTGGAAATATTCAGTTTCTTTGTCAGTGTGAGTTGGAGAACCCTGGCAGTGGTTGGGGATGGACATGCTATCTTCTAGAGGGGAAAAAAGCCTCTTTAACCTTCAGTGGGGCACTGATTCGGGACTATTCTTGATGCTTATGTGGATTTAGCATACTATTACTTCCCTTCATCATCTTTGACTTTATCAAACTGTTGGGCTGGCCTAGATTTCCTCCTGTCAGATTGGCAATAATACTTAAATTTATTTTTGTCTTCTGCCTGTGTGGGCTGTAAGAGCTGTGTGATGGGAGCGGATGCAATGGGACTAGAAATATGTTCTTGCACAAGACAGAGGCTCTTTCTGTTTCACTTCCTGCACTCTAGGTGACAGGTCTTCTTTGGTACCATCTTATTCCAGTACTTGAAGACAAAACGGAGAACCTCAGGAACAAATCTAAATGTAAATGTTAAAGATAATAGGCGACTGAGCTCTTCCTTGGCTGGGCTCCTCCTCCCACAGCGGGGTGGGTCCTAAGCCAGAAGGTCCTCCGCTCCTCGCTCCTTGCTCCTCGCTCCTCGGGGTTTCTTGTCCCCACACAAGGGTCAAGACCTGGGTCTCCTCAGTCAGAGCTGGTGATGAGGATGCAGGCAGGCAGCTAGAAGGGCCACTCAGACTGGGAAATCTGAGATCTGCAATCACTTAGATTCCCACTTCCATTGTCCCCATGTTTTTTGGTAAATTAAATTGCTCTGCATATATTTTAGTGAACTTAGAACCAGACCAGCCTTGGATATTGAAATATAGGTAATGTAGCTAAGTTTTATGCTTCTTTCCCACCGTGAAATGTAACAGTTTAATACAACTGAGAAAAATAATTTCAAAACTCAAAAGCTAAGTCATTTTATTTGGTATAACAAGCATCAATGGTTCAGAAAAATAATGCAAAGAATAACGTCAGGTATTGTGCGTTTTTGGCAAAGTGTATTATTGCCCTGAGTTAATGAACAGGCTGAAGAACATACCTCTGTCAAAAGCCATCTTGACATCTTCAATGAGGTCACTAAATCCTGACACTCGGTACAGTCCTTCAGAATTAAGACCTGCGAATAAAGCAAAGGAGCTCATCAGTTTCTTTGAAATCATGCCTTTTCTTCAAATTTTAACTTCTTGCCATACTTCAGGCTGAGGAAGTGATGTGTCAGAAAGAATGATAAATACACATGTTTAGAAACCTCTTCACCTTTTTCTCCTGAAATAAAACCATTTCACTGAGAGTTCTTTAGCTCTGACCTGCTGCCACCTGGATATTTGTGATCTGGCTCATCACTGTGTCTAATTAGATCAAAGATGTGAAGTCTTAAGGGAAATAATTCATCACTCCAATTATACCATAAATTCTTTTACATAACAGAAGACTAAGATAAACTATATTAACAGGCCCATAGCAAATTTTCCCAAGTGAGAAAGAATAATTAGGGTGCAGCTCTGATTTTTGGCCTAGGATAGTTTTAATAGAGCATTATGCCTTTGCTTCTCAGACCCAAGGAAAAAAACCCCCAAAAAACGGAACAATGAATTTGTATCTATATGTCAACTTTTAGAAATTTATGGAAACATCATCCATAAATAGACTTTTAGGCATATTTCCTATAACTGGTTAAATGTACCTAAATGTATCTTAAAATCAAGCTGTTTAATTATTTGTTAGATTAACTCCTTTCCGACTTTCAGATAATTTGCCATCTGAAATCATTTCCCCTAAACTTCAGAAGACAATGGGGTTGTGCAACGAGGCACCCAAAATAGCATTAGGACTCGCACTCCTGGTGAATTACAATCCCTCTGCATCGCACGGGAAGCGCCTCACCTCTAGATTCAATTTCCCTGATGCACATGTCCACCACCATCGGCCGCTTGGTGATGTGGGCTTTCACAAGTGTTGTGAGGTCACAGCTATACACCTTCTTGACATGTTTCAAGTCTGGCTTACAGTCATTTGGGACCATCTTGGAACACTGCTTATGAACATTCAAACCACAATCTAAAAAAAGAACGAAGAAAGAAAATATTCATTATTGTTTTAGAGTTTTGAGCATTCTGAACTGTCTATTTTAGCAAAAGACATTGCAGCTTGAATTCGTTTTAAAAGGGAAACTAGCTCCCAGCAGACCCTATTTTTCCCATCTCTTCTCTTACAAAACTTTTTGGGTTTTAAGTCAGAAGACCAAACTTCTAGCTCAGGCTTTATCATTTATTTGCTATTATGATCTCAGGAGAATACCAACCCAACCCAAACCAAATGAGTAAGTGTTTAATTAAATATCCATAAAACGTAATATTAGGCCAATTAGCCAACTAAAATTTTATCCATTTATTTAAAGTTACATAAAAATTTCCTTAAATGTGGAATATAAATGCATTTTAATATCTAAAATAGCTAGTTATTATTTATTACTACTATCATCTCTAGCTTACTAATGCCAAACACTATTCCAAGTGCTTTATATTTATTATTCCATTTAAACTCACAAAACTCTATGAAATGGATACTATTATTCTTCTTATTTTATAAACCTGACAAAACTGAGCACATGGGTGTTAAGTAATTCACCCAAGGTCATGTGTTTACTCTGTATGGAGCTGAGATTCAAGCCTACAGTGATTCTAGGGTATGTGATTATAACACTACACTATACTGCCTCTACTGAAATTATTCCTTTGCTCTGTAGTTTTACTGGGTTGTAACTTCTAAGATGCTAGAACCCAAATATTTTCTAGTTAATATTTATTTTAAACAGGAAGTCAAGAATAGAGGAAAATGAATATTTTATTAAATTAGACTGAAGAGTGATAAACCATAGCTGAATAATCTATATGTATAAAAGCCTAAGCGACCATTTGACCTGTAGCTATGATACACACTGACCACCAGGGGGCAGACGCTCAATGCACAGGCATGGAAACATGGAACAGTCTGATGAATCTCAGAGGGAAGGAGGGAGTGGGGAGGGGGGGAAGAGATTAACCAAAGATCTTATATGGACACTAGAAGCCTGGTGCATAGATTCATGCACTGGTGGGGTCCCTTGGCCTGGCCTGTGGGGACAGGGCAGAAATTGGCAGTCCGACATCCCCCGAGGGGTCCCAGATTGCGAGAGCGGCCTCTAGTTTGAAATAAAAGTCATTTTTATGTTTTCAAAACATAACCCATTTGTTTTTAAGTTAATAAAAACCTGATGCTGACATTATGTAAATCTGAACAATGTGGGGTATATATTGTTTATAACCAGGTCTTAATAAAAACACTGATATTCATTCAATGCCGTGACAACTGTCTATGGTCCTTGAACACGCTTTAGTTTTGCTTGCTGTTCTGGCAGAGAGGGGAGCATAACATTGACCTCATGAAATTGTTATGAGAATTAATAAACCAATGCATTCAGGTGCTTTGCATATTATAAAATGTTTGACAAATGCTGGTGATCAGATGATTAATATGACTTTTAGTAATGCTGCAATCTAGTTATATACAGTAGTAACCATGAACAGACAAGGAAAATTAGCCAAAACTTATAATGGAATTTTCTTTCATTAAATATATAGTTACTGCCGACAAATAATAACCTGAGGTCTGTGGTGACTATGGGAGGAATTCATATTACTGAGCACTTCTATGTGCAAAGACAGGTGAGTGTGCACATGTGTGTAAGTGGGCAGCACTGGAGACAGCACGGCCAGTGGTAACAGTGCCCAGACATGAACATTGCTAAAGAACAGCTTCTTCTTTGAATACGTAAAGGCTTCTAGAGCAAAGAGCTCAATCTGTACTATCTGAAGAAATGATGCAACACCATTCTGTATAGTTAAATAATGTCCAAATGAATACATGATTGAAACTCCAAATTCCTCTTTATATCTATGGATAAGAGTTCTGATTCAATATAAGGCAAATCAATGGCAAAATGTCTGTTTAAAAGACCTTGTTTCCCCTGAACATTTAAATATTTTGTATAACTTCTGAAACTTAGAGTTAGATCTAGAATCTATCAGCTGTGCAATTTTGAGTGAGTTACCTAATTTTTCTGTGTAGCAGGTATATAAAATGGGAATAATAGTATTTATTCATTATTAGATCAATTTTTATCTATTAGGTTAATACATATAAAGTGCTTACATGTAAGTAAATTATAAGTATTTACTGTAACTATTTCTGAAACATTTGGAGAAGCTGCTCATATGGGGTGTCTCAGGCTGTTACACGGCATTGTCATAACCAGCTTATGGTCAGAAGTAAGTTGAACTCTAGGCCCTTTCTGTTTGTAGATATGAATACCAGGTCCTGAAAAGGACTTGGATGTTTGGGGTTTTAGTTCTTCCTCATCTACACTGTTCTTTTCATTTACATAAAAGTATCTCCAAGTAAGTACATCATTTTTCTCTAGCTGCTCTTATCAAATTTGGGGAGTTTTCAGCCACTAATTTTCAAATATTTTTTCTGCCTCTCTTTGTCCTCTTCTGGGACTCCAACACACAAGTTAAATCTTCTGTTATTGTCCCATATGTCGCAGTTCACTTTGTAAAATCTATTTTCTCTCGTTTGAATTGGATAATTTCTATTGATTTACAAGTTCATTGATTCTTTCCTCTGTCATCCCCTCTGCTACTGAGCCCATCCGTGAGTTTAATGATTTTTCAGTTCTAAAATTTCCATTTAGTTATTTTTTATAACTTTATGGTATTTTCTATTTTTTATTTATTTCAAGGGTGTTTTTAATTGCTTGTTGGAGAATTTTTGTCATAGCTGCTTTCCTTATCTGACAATTCCAACATCTATGCCGTCTCAAAATCGGTGTCTGTTAACTGTCTTTTTTTTTTTTTCATCTGAGTTGAGATTTTCCTTGTGGTATAAAGTATAATTTTGAACTATATTCTGGATTTTTTGAGTGTTACAAGACGCTGGTTCCTATTGAAATCTTCAAGATTAGCAGGCAGGTAAACTGTTTAGATTTAGAATGTCCATTCTGGCCTACATCCTGGCTTACTTTTGGAGGCCATGGTTCCAACGTCAACCTAGGTTACAAAGCCTTTGCAATGCTTTTGCAGTGCCATTTTGCCTACTCACTTATATGCCACCCAAATGGCAGGACTCTACCCCACATTCTGGGGAAGAGGGAGGGCCACCACCTCCTACTTACTGCAGGGTGGGCACAGTGGACAGAGTTTTGATTACGTTCTCAGTCATCTCACTAAAGCAGGTGAGGCATGAAGGCAGGGCTCTGCCCACAGACTTGGGCTAAGAGGGTACTGCTTCTACTGTAGAAGTGGGTGGGGATGTAAGCCAGGGCCCACCCACAAGCTCGATCAAGGAGGGGTACCACTTTCTTCCTGCAATATAGTGATGGAAGGCAGGGCTCCACTCACAGACACACAGGAAAGAAACGCACCCTTGTGATTGCAGGGTGGGGTAGAAAACAGGGTTCTACGCAGACTGCTGCTGCACATCCAGTGGGGAGGGGTAGCAATGTGGCTTTTTCATGGTGTTCACGTGGAGAATGGTAGGTGTGGCTAAACGATTTCTGTCCCACTGAACTATGCTTTTCCCAGGGCTTTGGCTAGGATGAGCAGGCTTTCCTTGGGATTACTTCTTGGTGTCTGTTGGCAATTATGGGTTAGGAGTTTCTCTGGTGCCCAGGCTGGAATACATAGGAGGTTAAAAACCAAAACGAAACCCCAAACACCAGGAGGCGACTCACTGCCGGGTTCCTTGAGTCCTGAGGTCCCCAGTCAGTCTTCCTTCTTTTCTCAACCCTCAGAGTCTTCTGATAGTTGACGTATATATCTTGTTCAGGGAATTTTGTTATTATTATTGTGAGGAACAAAATGAAACTTACTTATTCATCTTGTCCAGAAATGGAAAAACTCTTACATAGTATTTTCAAGGTATAAAAGTCAGCAAAGCTTCCTAATCTAATAATTATGTCGATGTGCCGCATACTGTTTAAGTGTGTACACAGAAGCCACAGATCCAGCAGGAAAGGGCTGTATGTAACAACCTAACCCAATGTCATTTAAGAAAGACAATGAAAGTTACTCAGCCACCAAGCCGTAGAACTGAGATTTCAACACTGGCTTCCTGACTCCCAGCCTGTGGCATTAATGGTCTGATAGTTTTCCCTTTGAAAGTTTGAAGTTATCTTCCATTTTAAACATCAGCAGAGTCCTAAGATTTCTGTCCGGACGGGCTGCCCTTTTCGCAGGGTTTTGGCCAGGAAGAGCAAGCTTTTCTTGGTATCACTCTTTGTCAGTGCTTGTTGGCATTTATGGGTTGTGGGCTTTTCTAGTGCCCACATAATTTTTCGCTAATGGCACTATAATTTGTGCCTGGGTGAAAACTGGATAAACTGATGACTAAGCTTAGACTTAGGGGAGAGGAAAGTGTGTGTGTGTGTTTTTTTTTGTTTTGTTTTGTTTTTTTTTACAAGTATATTTTTATTCAGAGAGGAAGGGAGAGGGAGAGAGAGAGAGAAACATCAATGATGAGAGAGAATCACTGATTGGCTGCCTCCTGCACCCCCCCCCCCCCTGGGGACCGGGTCCGCAACCACACATATGCCCTTGCCTGGAATGGAACCTGGGACCCTTCAGTCTGCAGGCTGATGCTTTATCCACTGAGCCAAACCAGCTAGGGTGAGGAAAGTGTTTTTAAACTCATATTCTTTCTTCCACTTGACTAAAATTAAACCATGGAACAATATATTGTGCTAAATTTTATAAATAAATGCCAAAGGCCACATTTTTGGCAGGATTGGATAAGAAGTCCTTCAGAAGATGAAAGGATAGGGTAAAGTCATTAAAGTAAAGCATCTTTATACCCTGAAGTTCACAGTGCCATATACTAGCTATGAGCTTGCTCTGCAAATTGCTGCTTCAAGGACCAGCAGTATATCAATTTTCAGTTTGCCATTAAGGCTTTATTTGGTTTTCATACTTATTTATTAAAGTCATATAACTCTTATATAGTTCTATTTCTCCCAGGGAAGATCTACACTATAAATGAAAAAAAAAAAGTCCATAAAGATCATTTCACTTGCCGCATCTCTTGGTTTGGTGGGTTATTTTTATATTACAATTAAACCACATTTCCCCTCCCAATTACTCAAGTTAATAAGCATAGAATAAACATATGAAAGGAAGAATAAAAAATTCAAATCACATTTTATTCTGTCCTTTATTAATAAACTATTGGTATTACTTAGACTGCTAACTTTAGGCTACTCCAATTTTCTTGGGCTTGATTTCCCTAAAAATGTAATGTATCCTTTATCTAGAAAGCACAGAAATATACTTTTTGAAATAAATAGCTGCTATTATTTATATTCTAAGGATAGCATTAAGGGGTAATGTTAATGTGTTTTGAAAGTAAAGATAATTATTCATTCTTTTACATGAGTGTTCATATTTTAAATAACTGCAAGTAAAAAGCTCTATTTTTAAACATTTCTTAGTTGTCTTCCCCCATCCGCCTTGCATGTAGGAGAAGTGGGGGTAACCTATTTCTAATTTACATTAGAAGTCATATAAGCAAAATTAAGGCAAATACCTTGTTCTTTGGGATATCTGTGAAAATACTACCTTTGATTAAAAGGGGCTACATAAAAGTTTTAAGCAAGTCCAACGAATTTCTTGCTGGCTTACAAGGACAAACATAATTTTTTTAGGTATAGTCAATCAGAATAGTAATTAAAATAAACAACATTACTTCCACTTCCTTTCTTCAGCCTAGAAGTTAAATGCTTGTATATTTGAAGCAATAAATACATTTAATTATTAGGAAAAAAACTGCTGCCATTTCCCTTGGGGGGCTGGCAGTAATGATAACACCCTGAAAGAATATAGTCACTTTAATAAATAACCAATACTAAGTTGTTATGTCTGAGATAGAACAAAATTATCTGGCTAATTTCTTAGCATATTCTGGTAAGGCTAAAATGAAAGCAAGTCAGGAATGCTGGTGGAAGTCTTTTTGGTGGCAGGGATGTTTGGCTATCTCAATGAGTATATAATAACTAGAGGCCTGGTGCACGAAATTCGTGAACGGGTAGGGTCCCTAGGCCTGGCCAGCGATCAGGGCCTATCTGCAGGGCGATCGGAGGGCCCCCGCTGGCACCCGCCTTAGCTGGCTTGGGGCCTGTGGGCAGTTCCTGCGTTAAGCATCTGGCCCCTGGTGGTCAATGTGCATCATAGAGACCAGTCGTTCCACCATTCGGTCGATTTGCATATGAGGCTTTTATTATATAGAATAATAGACACTTTAACCTATAAGCTTACATTTCATAAAGAAGGGAAAAGTGCTTTGGGAAACTATTCTATCTGAGCAATGACAATCCTTTGAACTTTACTTTTAAAGACCACCTACTTCAATCCTAACTAAGTATTTTAGTGGGAGGAGCACCACTGCCAAGCTGCAGCTGATACTCTCCTGTAACATCACTTTGCTCCCTGTAAAGAAGGGAAGGGAGACGCTGGTAGAGGTTCCTACTATGGAACCTTGTGCTGAGGGGTCTGTCATGACTGGTGTTCTCACTTGTCCTCGTCGGCTGTGCAGTGCAGTGCGTAGCAGCCAGCCTGCGATTAGCTGGATTCAGTCTGATTCCTACAGCAACTTTTTCAGTCTGTTGATTGCACCACCACCCAACATTTTATATGATGTTGTTTAAAAAAAAAAGAAAAAAAAAGAGGGTGCTGGTGAGATACAAAATCACTGCTTTTGGCCAACACTCCTTTAAAAAAGTCCTTGCCTGGCCAGCATGGCTCAGTGGTTGTGTCAACCTATGAACCAGGAGGTCACGGTTTGAGTCCCAGTCAGGACACATGCCTGGGTTGCAGGCTCCATCTCCAGGGTGGGGTGTGCAGGAGGCAGCCAATCAATGATTCTCTCTCATCATTGATGTTTCTTCCTTTCTCTTTCTCTCTCTCTCTCTCTATCTCTCTCTGAAATCAATAAAAACCTATTTAAAAAAATTCCTGACAAGTATACCTTGGTGGAGTTTAAAAAAAGAAATCAGAACGAAGCAGGCTGTCTTAGGGATCAAAAGCAATAAATACATCTCTTTTCCGACAGGCAGTAAGCTGCCGTTTTTCTTTGGAAGTGGAATCTTTAATGTTCGGTAGATAGTGCATTCGTTTCCTATTGCTGCTGCAACAAATCACCACACACTTGGTGGGTTAGCATGCGTTTCTCCTCTGACAGTTCTGGAGGTTACAACACCTGGGCTGGAAGCAAGGTGCTGGCGGGCCCGTGCTCCTTCTGGAAGCTCTCGGGGAGTCTGTTTCTTTCCTTTGCCTTTTCCAGCTTCTCCAGGCCTGCATTCCTTGGCTCCGGCCCCCTTCCTCCAGCCAAACCAGAGCGTGGCTCATCTCCCTCTGATCTCTGCTTCTGTCCTTACATCTTTCTCTGCCTCGTCTGCCTCCCTCGTATAATGGTTACACTGGGCCCACCTGACAATCCTGACACTCTACCATCTCAAAATCCTTAACTTCATCAGAGTCCCTTTTGCCACAAAAGGTCACATATTCACAGGTTCTGAGGATTAGGAAGTAGAAATCTTTGGGGAGCCACTGTTCAGCCTACCAGTTACTTCTCTCCGGCTCTTTAAATTCTTAATTCTGTGCATTCTGTTTCAAATAAAGTGATGGCTCAAAGGTCAGGATGAGCCACTTTATATCTAAGAATCCCACTATCAATCCAAATGTAATTAGTTGTCATGGAAATCAGAACTAATTGAAATCCCAACCATCCCCATTTTAAAAAACAAGCTGACTTGTTCGTATATTACACATCAATATGGTCCAAATCACATAGACTAACGCTTTTAAGCACAAGATGTAACATAAAATGAAAAATCTCCTCAAGGCTTTTCTTTCAATTCCTGCCCCTTGACTCATAACAAGAGGTGAGGGCTATTAATGCAGGTGGCTGTGGGATGGAGTGGCTCATTTTCTTTCTCCTTTTTTCATATTATTACTATCCTAAGTGTTCCAAACATTTCTTTCAAACATGATTTGGGAATGTAGCCTATTGCTGAGGATTATTCATGTGTTGTACCTATTCTCTTCTAATAGCTGACTCAGAATTCTCATGCAATGGCCTTCACCCTTTCAAAACGTAAAGGATGCACACGCTAGTAAAAGAGCTTATGAAGTTAGTGACAGTCATAGTGTTTAGGAAACTGTTGCAGAGTCTCAGCTGGTCAAGGCTGTGTCATAAAGGCAATCCAGGCTTATGGAGACCATCGTTCCTTGAGCAGGTGGAAAGAATATTCCATTTGCCTCTGAAAAACCACACCAGTGCCGATGTTCTTACCACCGCCACTTCATCAACACTTTCTGTTCCACTGTGTTCCTCTCCAGTTCCAAGGCTCAGAAACAGCCTTCCCAATGGTATTTCCTCGTCCTGACTGTGGGTAACCACTGGCAGGATGATAATTATTTTTATTTACTCTCTGGGCAGAGACCTGCATTGGGGCTGTCACCCTCTTGCACGAGGGAGGAGTTAGACTGGATTGAGCTGAGCCTCTCCTTAGTGGACACCTCTGCACAGGTCAAAGTCAACATGTGGGCCTTCTTCTCCCTCCTTGTGGCGGGTCCTGTAAGCATTTGGCTAGTGATGGATGCCTGGGACTTTCTCATGCCTTAGTGATAATAACTAAAAGGAGGGTGATTTGGGACATTCACATGCAATGCATATTGCACCTGTTATTCAATGAAAATGCAATTTAGAAATAAGAAAAATCATACCCTAGAAGTTTCTGCACATAACATAAAAGATTCCATTAAAAATCAGGCCACAAAAGAAATGTGGGTTTTTACAGTGATAGATTTGACAAGATTATTATAGCTATAATTTTGAACTACTTTAGTCTTAGTATACATTTCTAATGTTAATCTTCATGCTAAACGACATGTAAGAAGGCAGTTTTCAGTTTTACAATTTAAATAGCAGAAACTTATATGACCAAATACTATGTATTTAAAATTTAAGTGGTTATCTTTAAGCTTATGCCAGAATTTAGAGCAGTTTGAATAAATGACCAATACTCTGTATAGTTGTTATATACAAATGAATTTCACATGATGTGAATAACCACTTATTTCATAAAGCATGGTTATTTCTTTATGTGCAAATCTTAAAAGTTTCTAAATTTAAATCTAAAAATACTGTGGTTATGCTTTATAAAAAGATTTGGCATATTCAACATTTTAAAATATCACAAAATACTAGTGACTAAGTGGTTTTTCAGAATTTAGTAACCCTCTTCCAAGACAAATTCAGATTTCTAAAGCTTCAACTCGATTTCACAAAAATTTAGTAAGGACAATCCAGCTTAACTTATCTTTAAAATTCCGTTTCCAAGGCAACAATCATAGATCCCTGTGTACTGTTTTTAAAAAAATCATTTTTATAAATTTAGTTCCTGCAACATCAAAGACAATAGTTAAATATAACTGCCTTACTTATATCGCCTTTTATCAGACTTTTTGAACAAGCTGACTTCTCTCTTTTTAAAGGACTAATACCAGATCCCTAGTCTGTTGTTCATTAAGTACAAGTTAAGGGCAGATAAAATATCAATTTCCTAAGTGGCTGCCTGAAAATCCAGACTACTGCATGTGTGTTAAGGGCAAACCAGGATCTAGCCCAGTGATGGCAAACCTATGACACGCGTGTCAGAGGTGACACGCAAACTCATTTTTTTGGTTGATTTTTCTTTGTTAAATGGCATTTAAATATATAAACTAAATATCAAAAATATAAGTCTTTGTTTTACTATGGTTGCAAATATCAAAAAATTTCTATATGTGACAGGGCACCAGAGTTAAGTTAGGGTTTTTCAAAATGCTGACACGCCGAGCTCAAAAGGTTCGCCATCACTGATCTAGCCCATTGTGCATAACAGCAAATCTCCTTCAACGCCCTCCTCCTAACTCCTTACTCAATACAGTGAGAGGAAAGAGCTCTTACCTGCACATTTCACTCCCTGAGCAATGAGACCCCACATGAAGTTGGCACAGTACTCACACCAGTGTGGCCCTCGGAACGTGTGGACCTGAAAAAGAGTAGCGACAAAGTGGCCAGAGGCAAACACGCGAGTGAGGAGGCTGTTTCCTGTAAAGAGCTGATACACATACGAGCCAAGGTTAGTACCAAAGAGGCATGAGATGGTCACATTCCGCAAAGCCTTAGTTGAGTCGAACTGACAAGCAGTTAAAACTTCTTTCCTCTTTGTCTTAGACATGGTGGTAAATCACAACAATATTCTGCAATTTACTTTTGAAAATAATTTCTACATTGGAGTTTTGCAACTGTTTCCTTCACAGTGAGCAACCTCATTTGCGTGTTATGCTGGCGTTTTCTGAGCACTGTGGCATGCAGGAGGAGGGGGAGGGGGGAGCCATGTACAGCATGTCTGAGTCCTGGGAAGGGTTTTGCCAGGTGATCCACCTTCTGTCCCCTGTGACCACAGTTAGGGCAACAGATGTTGAAGGTGATACTCAGTGATTGGTCACAACTGAATCATCATAAAGTGCCAATTTCTGTTCAAAATTATTTGATACTTATTATTTTAAGAAAGAGACTGAATGTATTTTAGGAACTACAGTTAGTCAGGAACCCTGTTTTAGCACAGGAATTACTCAGTAATCATTCCAGCTCATAAAGGTTACACTGCATTTGAGTTCTTTATCCCTAAGGAAGGAACCAAAAAAGAAAGGATTCCAGGGCTAAGACACCTATAGGTTTTTACTACCAGTTAATAATGCGGATTTTGTAATCAAAGAAAACACGGTAATTTCAAGAGAAACATCAAAAGTACTTTATTCAAAGTAATGTCCATCGCTAGCTACACATTTCCCCATCTTTCAGGTAATTTGTGGATACCGTCCCAATAGAACTTTTCTTGTTTTGAGGCAAACCATTCAGAGACCCAATTTTCCACTTCTTCGTACGTTTTGAAGTGCTGTTCAGAAAGTGCGTGTGCCATCTATCAGAACAAGTGGTAATCTGAAGGAGCAAGGTCTGGTGAATACGGCGGGTGGGTTAATACTTCCCAGGCAAGATCTTTTAACGTGTCTTTAACTGGTTTTGAAGTGTGTGATGGTGCGTTATCACGAAGCAAAACTACTTTGCCATGTCTTCTGGCACATTCTGGTCATTTCACGATCAAAGCGTGATTCAAATTGATTATTTGTTGTTGGTAGTGATCAGTATTAATGGTTTCACCTGGTTTTAGAAGCGCATAATATTCCACACCTTCTTGATCCCACCAAAAGCAGAGCATTGTCTTCTTTCCAAAGCGATTTGGCCTTGCAGTCGATGTTGATGGTTGACCTGGATCAACCCATGATTTTGTGCATTTGGGATTCTCAAAATAAATCCACTTTCATCGCCAGTGCACAATTCGATGCAAAAAAGACTTTCTTTCGTGCCACTGAAGCAACATTTTACTGATGACTTTTCCGTTTTCCATTTGTCTTTCGTTCAGTTGATGTGGCACCTTTTCCTTCCTTTAAAACATGTTTCTAACTCTCTATCCCTCTTCATTCCTCTCTGCAAACAATCAATAAAATATATTTTTTTTTAAAAAAGACTTTCTTCCGTGCCATTGAAGCAACATTTTACTGATAACTTTTCAATTTTCCATTTGTCATTTGTTCAGCTGATGTGGCACCCATTTTCCTTCATTTAAAATCTTTCCCATTGCTTGTAAACGATTGGAAATTGTTTGCTGAGCAATGTTTAATCTTTCTGCAATTTGTTTTTGAGTTTGACATGCATCTTCATACAATAATGCTTGTAATTGTTGGTCTTCAAACTTTTTCGGTTGATCTGGACATTCTTTGTCTTTCACATTGAAATCATCACTTTTAAAGCGTTTAAACTAGCGTTCACAAGTATCTTGAGATGGAGCATGTTCACCATAAGCTTCCCGAAATATATGATAACTTTTCCTTCAAAATAAAGTAATGAATTAAAACTTCCTGCAAATGCTCTTTTTTTGCCACGAAATTCAACATTTTTAAGCGTAAAAGTATCTATGATGCTAACAACTTCAGCAAATTTGACATATGAAGTTTTGAAACTTACTGTCAATACAACAAAATAGCATACATATCAAATCACATATATATCAACATATGTGTAACTCTATTTATTGAAAAAAATCTGCATTAGTAACTGGTACACCTAGTATGTACAGGAAAGAGAAGCCATTCTACCTTAACTCAGGTGAAAAAGTATTGGTCAAATAGGAAAGTAATGAATCCAAACCCCAAACATTAGAGAATAGAAAAAAATGATTATCAGTAACACGGTAATATTTCTGAGCAAATGTTGGCTGAAAATACACTCAAGAAGTAAGTTTTGTGTGTGTGTTTTTTATTTTTTAAAAAGGGAGAGGGAACAAAGAAGCCACTGAACTGTATCAAATTACATTTACTTGAGATAATTTCTTATATATATGATTTCTTCCTGCAGAAAAACAGTAATACAAGAGCGTGAATATCAGAGTGTGACTATTTGATTCCAACATAAATATCTGCTGAAACAGCTATTGCAAATAATGAAATTCACAGCGAAAATGGTCATCTTTACTGCTGTTCTATTTATGTATCAAATAGGTCTTAGAAACCAAGGCAATGCTTTTTAAGAGAGATATATATATTATCATTTCTTCAAACTTAAGATGCTACTGAACATAAGACTTACAGTAAATGGAGGTAGGGCAAAAGTTGGTTTACAGTTTGTATGGAAAAATAATACAATAATTAATAAATAATACAATAAACTGTTTTGCATACTCACAACTGTAAATTTACTTTTGCCCTACCCTGTATATTCCATTTAGAAAAACCATGTCAATTAAATTATGACAAGCCACTGATTATAAGATAAATGCCAATTCAGAGGTGTTAAAATGACACTAAAGTACATATTAGAATCAATGAAATATGGTATACCAGATTTCAAGATACTACTCCTGGAAAAATACCCATATATGGCTGCAATGGATAACCTGGGGTTCATTCCAAGCAGGTATGTGCTCGTAACTGTGGTTATTGCCAAGTGAGCTTGAGTACTAAGCATCGTGTTGATTTTGGAAAGAAGGCACAATCCCTTTTATGTCTTTGACGGGAAAGTGTCAGGAATGCAGACACAGTTGCTTCTGGATTGTTAATGATGCTCAGAGTCTGCAAATTGAAAGTATTTCCTGGAGTTCCTGAAGCAGAGTCCAAGATCAACATTCAGATAGACTGGGATGTCCTTGTGTTGGTCCATGTTCCTCTGAGTGAATGAAACTAGATAAACTATGCAATCCTGCTTCACTCAGGGGAGAATGAGTGAAATAGATAGCTCTGACTCATAAAAAAGGTTAGAGAATCTATACCAGGGGTCCTCAAACTTTTTAAACAGGGGGCCAGTTCACTGCCCCTCAGACGGTTGGAGGGCCGGACTATAGTTTAAAAAAAAACTATGAACAAATTCCTATGCACACTGCACATATCTTATTTTGAAGTAAAAAAACAAAACGGGAACAAATACAATATTTGTATTTGCATGTGGCCCACGGGCCGTAGTTTGAGGACCCCTGAAAAATAGAAACATGTAAATTGACCATCCCTCCGCTACACCCACCAGCCAATCAGGAGTGCATATGCAAATCAACCCAATAAAGATGGCAGGTTAATTTGCATACACAGGCACGAGGGGCTGGGACGCTTGCCTCATTGCCATGGTGACGACACAGGCATTCTGCACCGCCCCAGCTGCTTGGGGTCTAGCCTCTGGGCAGCGTTGGAAGGCAGAAAGGTGGCTCCAGGCCAGAGCAAAGGCGGAAAGGTGGTTCTGGCCGGAGCGAAGGCGGTGCCGGCAGCCAGGGGAAGGAAGGCCTGTTCTTGCACGAATCTTCGTGCTTCGGGCCTCTAGTCTTATATAAATAGCTATAGACCTGTGAGGTTATTTTTAGGGAAAGTCTTTGGGATGCAAACTGGCTTCTCAGTTGCCAGATCTCAGGGTAGTCAAGTCTCACATAACTTGGTAAGGTTAATAAGAAGGGACTGGAAGCCCCACTTCTGTACCTGCCCATTAACTCATGATTAAGGTCTTAATGTTACAATGGGAGCACAAAGCAGAGTAGATCACTGTACTTACTTTATAAAGGGCTGTTGCAAATAGCACTGAGACGTTATGATAGAACTAATTCTCTTCCTCACCTTCACAGAAGAAGTAGTGAATGTGGCATTTTGCAAATCTTGGCACATTTCTTCGTATTACACCCCTGAAGGGTGTAACTGTCCAAGCAGGCCCAGTGTCCTCTAATTAAATGATCATACAATTATCTCAGAAAGCAACCTTTATAAAATTACTTACATACTTCCTTCTTGGACAGTTTTTATAAAGGCATCATGAGCAATTTGGGGATGGTTTTATTGTTGTTTTTAATTTTTTTTGGAAAGTTGCTTACATAGCTCTCCAAGAAACTGTTCTACAAATTAGCACCAAAATACTAGAAGCTTACAAAACATCTGTTTGTACAATAGGGTTTACCTGAATTCTCTTTTGAATTTTTATATCTAAAATTTGTATTTCTTAAATTTTGTTTTGTGACCTCTATGGCTCCATGACTGGATGGCATTAGCAAAAAAAACTGAATATTGCAGACTTTTTCTCTTTTTTATTTCCTTAGAGGTCATCCAAACAGAGACTTCATTAATTATTTTTATTACTCATAACACTTAAAGTAATGACACATCCAAAGATACAAAGGATATTGGCTCAAGGAATGTGTTGTAGGTTTCTCCCTTTAAATACACTGCAAGAATGCTCTACTGACAGTGCCTACCAAGTGTGAGGGAAGCTGGGGGAGGGGCACTCCTCAGGCTTGAAGCAGCCCACGGGCTTGAGTAGGGTCAGCCAGGTGGCCCACGGGGTGTCCCTGTTGGCACACAGGAAAGGCTGGGAGATCAAAGGCACAAAGCATGAGCGAAGCAATAGGTTTGGAGAATTCCAAGGGAGGGCAGGGGTGGAAATGACTGGCATGGCAGGAGATGG